AGATTCGCCTCCTTCAGACGCCGAAACACTTCTCTGAGATTGTCCTTGTGTTCTCGTTGAGTGCGTCCGATGACGATTATGTCGTCCTGATACGCAAACGCATGAGGAGACATCTCTGGTCCAATCACTTGGTCCAAGGCACTTTGAAATGTTGCGGATACCGAGTGTAATCCGAATGGCATCACTCTCCATTGGAAGGGCCCCGTGAACGCCGTGAACTTTCTGCTTGCCTCCTCCAGATGAATCTCCATTCTGTAAGTTCAGGCTGCTGATATAGCGTGCATTGGGTACACATCCTTTACCGATTTCGCGTTTATCTGTCTGAAGTCAACGCACAATCTCCACTTGCCGGTTTTTTTCTTCACCATCACTATGGGCGAGCTATACGGGCTCTTCGAGTGCTCTATGACACCCATTTGCAGAAGGTCGTCCACCTTTGCATTGATCTCCTCTTGAACTTTGGGGTTCTTACCTTTGTTTTATAGGTTTGTCATCCTTCATGGTGATCTGGTGCGTTCGAAATTCCGCTCATGGCTCAGAATTCTGCCAGCTCTGCTTCTAGGAATTGCTCGATGTTTTCTTCCTCGCGGTCTTCATGAACAACTGCCACTGACAATTTCTCTTTCTGTATGTTTTGAGGGAAATCCTTAGGTCAGGTGTGCTGTTCTCCCTTATGACCTCGAGCATTTTCTTGGGACTGTACCCGAGTGGCCTTCTCATGGTCTGCATGTCCACCATGTAATCTTTGAACGGCTCCCTGAATCCCTGCTTCCGAGCTTTGACCTGGTCCTCTAGCTTTGCAAAATATCCTCTGGGTAGGAAGAATGTTTAGAAACTCTCCATAATTTCTACCCATTTTCCCCACTGCCGGTTGTTTGAAATGAACCACTTTAATGCTCTTCCTTGTAGTAGCTCAGGCATCGTTTGAGGTATTAAATTGAAGTCCAACCCGTAGGTATTAGCGGACCATTCCACCTGCTCCGAGAATTCAAGTGGTTTCACTTTGCCATCGAATCGAAAGACCATTCTCTGACCTGCTTTGCGACTTTAGTGTAGTCGGCCTTGCTAGGTCTCAGTGACTCCTGGAATGTCTTTCTGTCTTCGCTCGAATCCCTTCGTTTGCCTTCTTTTTGCATGCAGAGGCCGGTCAAGGCGTCTTCTCCCTCGGGGTCTGTTGGGTTTAAACTTGCACGTGGTTTCTCTGGGTACATGGCTTCTAGTTCGGCCCAGAGTTCTTTGAGTTCTGGATTGATTTCCGTCTCATTGTAATACTCCACCAGTGCTTTCCGCATTTCTTCAGTTCTACCCGTCAAGGAAATGCGCAGTCTTTGCGCTTCGTAGACGAAATCCTCCTTCTTGAGGCGGTAGATCCAACTTTTCCCCATTCTGGTATTTTGTGTTTTTACTGCCGGGACAATCACGTTTTGGGCGCCAAATGTAACAAACTGATTTTTATAGTTTGCTCGCTACGAAGTTCGTATGGCTAGCTCAGTAGATTGTGTGTTCGTCCCGTCAAATTTATATAAACGTGACCGCCCGGTTAACAGTAATAACACTTCAGAATTCAGTTAAAGAGGCGTTTATTTACGGCTCTGGTTTACAATGCTTGTGTAGATCCCGTGGTGGTGATGCTCCTGCGACGCCGCTCGGTGATCCCTCGCACTGGTGTCCTTGGCTGCCCAGGATACTATCGCGGCCTCTCGTAGACGAGAGCGTGGAGTTAGGCCGTAGGGCTTAGTGAAGCGTCACCGTTCTCAGACTAGGGTGAACACCACGCTTGCAAGACCTTCATCCTGTCAGCCGCAGCCTCCTGTCCCTTGCTCTGTCCCGGCCGGTCTCGCTAGACGCCTTCTTAGTTTCCTTTGACTACGGCCGGCTTACGCCAGCAGTCCCTGTAGCAAACGCCCAGAGAAAGACGAACGTTCCACCCTAACCTTCCCTCCTGGCTGTTGCGACCTGAGGCCTGGCTCGCGGCGTGGTTCTTGGATGCTGATCCTCGTCGATGTCCTGTGCGACTCGTTGCAGCGTTGTTCCGTGCTGCTCCGTTGAGATCTGCGGCTTGTGCCGTTCAGCTGGTGGTGATGCTGACTTGCTTGGTCCCGAACGTCTTGACGTAGCGATCTTGCTCGTTGCTGGTTCTCCACGACTGTTTCTCCTTGACTTTGACTTTTACTAGACGTTGCTCACTCTCGATTTGATGCTCGAAGACTGGTCCCAACTCCAACACTGGGCCCGCTTATAAAAGCCTCCGGGTCCCGTTAATCCTCGGCCTCTCCTTTTCTTCTCCAAAGTCCAAAGTGCACGGTTTTACCGTTCGACCTTTCGCCCTCTGCGCACGGCACCACACTAGGTCCCAAAGTGCGGCGCTGTACCGTTAATTCCTTGTTCACAGCAGGCCTGCGATCTCTCGTATCTCCCTCAGGTTAGTGCCGTCTCGCTCAGACGCCTCTCTTGTCGCTCCCTCTCTCTGGGTTGGTACTCTCCCAACTCTCTCCAACTCTCCACTTTAGGGTCCAGAGTGCGCGGTTTTACCGTTCGACCTTTCGCCCTCTGCGCACGGCAGAGTTATTCCACTCCTCACAGTAAGCAGTATAAAAAAAAAACATTCGAGGATCGATAGATAAAGGAGTTTTGAATATACTGTCAAAATTTCAAATCGATCGGTTAAGATTTGTTTGAGTTGTGTGTTCGGCAGTCTCAAAAAAGGGGTTTAGAGAAAAACGCGTTTAAAGTTTTAAGGTGCCCGGGATATACCTGAGAGGCATCGCCGTAGAATAAAATATTTCGACAGTTAGACACTTTTGCTGGACTCTATCTGGTATGTTATTTTTAACACTTTAAAGAATTTTTTTTTCTACCAGTGTATTTAAGCAAAAATAAAAATTTTATGACCCCCTCTAGAAATTTAAAGTTCGCCTATGAACTATTCAGATGGGGTCTGGAGAAAAAATGTATTACAAGTGTAGAAAATGTGTGTGTGCATTTTTATAGTTAATATAGTTAGTTCACATGCTCGAGCTGGGTACTAGTAATGCAGATTGTGTCCAAACTACATTATCGGTAATCCATGTTGTAATCCATTAAATTATTGCATTCGTAATCCATTTCGTAATGGCAATTTTCGCCGCTGACTCTTACTATATGATCGACGGATGATTTTATTCGTATCGAGCGATCAGTTAGGGACCGATCCGAGTATTCCGGTCAACCAAAAACCCCTCTTAGGCCAGTCTTAATTTTGGTCTCTTTTAACTGAAAAATTCGGTTGACCGTATTTAACGAGCTCTGATTGCTATACAATTATTTTGTCTTCTTTAAGATCATTTTTTTCATATTCCTTGTGTAGAGGAAAATGGTGCATTTAACGAGCTCTGATTGCTATACAATTATTTTGTCTTCTTTGAGATAATTTTTCTCATATTCCTTGTGTAGAGGAAAATGGTGCATCAAACCCAATAAGACAATAACATTCATGGAGGCACATTTAAAAAAATTTTGCTTATTCTTTCAATGAACTAATTTTTTGTATAACTGTTTATTGGAAACTCTGGACTTAGTTTTCATCAATAACAAGTTATCATTTATATAGTTAATCGACTATTTCGGTGCTATGTAAGGCCTGTGTAAAACTTACCACTTTAATAAATTGATTTGGACAATAAGGGCCAGTCACAAATCCTCTTCAAACTAGTATTTTTAAAGTTTTTGACTTCTTTACCTTTCCTATATGTCTTTTTGCAGTTCAGTGTGTTATTTTTTTAGTGCTTTGGGGAGGAAGGAGGCTTCACAAGACAATTATCTTAAAATAAAGCTTTAATCTTTCAAACATTATTGAATTTATCTGTAAAATAAAATCTTTACAAAATAAAACCATCAACATTTAGTTTTCAAATAAATTTCAGATCAATATGATTGGATAAGTAATGGCAGTAATGTTTTTTGGTCGACTGTAAGTCGGCTGTATATATCGTAAAACTCGAAATAAATCCGCTGAAAAATCATAATGGGTACAAACTTAAAGTTTACATCCTATCGAATAAAACAAGCCGGATATGGCCCAAATCCATGGAAAACTGGATTTATGGTGGATTTTTAAAGTTCGGATTTTTCCACTTTTTTCGGTTGACAGAGTCCAAATTTAAGATTTATCATAGGCGGCGACATGTAAACAAAAATGAGTGGTGACGACAGAAAATTAGTGGTATTTTCGTGATTTGGGGGTCGAACGCTAACAGAATTTGCCATCAATTGCCTTGGAGCAGTTTAACTGTAAACTAGTGTAATATAACAAACAAAGTTATGAAAACGAATGTTTTTGGGCCACCTAACTTGGTTTGCCCTTTATCGGATAAGCTCGTGTCAATGCAAACTAAGAACTTGGAAAATGTTTGTTTTTACTTAAGTATAAGCATTTGTTGAGGTACATATTTATCTAAAATAAAGAAGTTTTCATATGCCTGACCATCCAGGTCATATTGCTTAACTTAATTAATAAATAAAATTAGAATTACATAACAAAGTTTTAATAAAAATGGCCATATTTGTATGTTTTATTGAAGTTGGATTATCTTTGAGCTTAGTGGCAAAAAATGTATTAACAAATTTTAAAATCTTGATTTAAAAGAACGTATGTAGCGTAATTAGCAATTTTAAAATAGTGTATATTTTTAGCCATTTCAATTAGACCATTTAATGATGTTTTTCCAACATTGAATTAAATTCATTGTTACAATGAGAACACAATTTAATTTACAACACATTTTTAATTTTCTACATTTTAAACACGTTCAAATTGTGATACAACAGTAACTTCTGTCAGGGCTATAATCACAGCCATGAATTCTACTAAAATCGGCTATTAAATCTGACCTTTTCAAGCTGTAAGAGTATTGGGTAAAATATTAGATCTAAGCTAGTAATAATAACTTATCTTAACTGCCTTACAGATCTTTATACGTTTCAAAACACATAAACTTTAAAAATATCTTTGGTTTACTTACTTATTATATAAGACAATATCCGGTCTCCATATATGATCAGATGGAACATGCAACATATGAACTCCACCATATTCTTTTGGCTCCCATCGAAGTTTGTAATCATACCAGGACTGTCAAAAAGTAAATGAACAATACTTGTATTCATTTTTGGAAAAGAATTGAATTACTTTAGAATAATAGCTAGATAGTAGTTAAAATAGTAGTTTTTAAACGTATATTGCAGCACTAATAAATGGGGAGTCTGGCGCAATTACTATACCTTATTAACTGATCACGTATCGCTAATCCTGTTTTTAGACAGGCTCGTACTATTGACACGCCAGGAAAAATGGAATGTTCAGATTTTTTCCCATGGGAACCCTGTGGATTCGATGAAGTTTTGAAAAATTAGTATCTACCGCCACTGATGGTTACTATAACTTTGATATGCCAAACGATTTAAAATATTCGTGATATTCCTATCCCACAGAGTTGTGCCTTTAAGCATTATCATTACTTTTTCATTATCATTAAAAAATGTAATGCTAGTAAAATCAGTTTACATTATCATTAGAAAAAGTAATGCTTTTAATGCATTACTTTTGACAAATATAATGCTAATGAAAATTCAATTCATTATTTTTGACAAATATAATGCTAATGAAAATTCAATCCATTATTTTTGACAAATATAATGCTAATGTAAAATATTTCATTACTTTTGAGAAAAAGTAATGCCAATGATATTTTTTCATTACCAATAATAATGATAATGAAAAAATTTGCATTAAAAATTTAATTAAATATGTTTTAACTTTATTTTTTTTGATAAAGTACTGCAACCGCAAACCATATGTATCTCAATTAAATACAGCCATTTTTAAGATAAGACGCTACTTTAAAGGCAAGGTTTTACGTCAGTAGGAAGTATATTTTATGTTACTACAACATGCACTTGACTTACAAGAACTTAATAGTCGTAATGCAACGCCAAGTGCATTTATTTTTTCAATAAATTGGTCATAGTGGAAAAATATTTTTTTACTGAAATCGCCATCTTTGTTGTGTACCCTTTACTGAACACCTCTGCTGGTTAGGGGTTGTCTTCATCCATAGAGGCCTGAATATTTCGCGGTTTGAATTTTTTTTTTTTTTTGCATTAGTTACAAGTTTACTATACTAAGCTTATAAACTATAACACATTCATACTTAACTTACAAAACTTCTTGACAGTGCTGAAGAAGTCGCGGTCCATGGAAGAAAATTTGTTTTTAAAGTTTTTTGGGGGTATTGACCGCTGTACTACACAGTTGCCGAAAGTATCCAATGAGGATAGTCTTTTGGCGGTTTTACATTGAATGTCTATATTGTGGAATCATTGGATCTGACAGATCCTAAGAATCTGTCAACCAAAACCGCCAGGATACACATGATTTGCCAGAATTCCAGGAAAAAGTAAAAATGTTCTATTTTATTTTGTTAAGTATATACATATATGTGGGGCTTTGTTTTGTAAGTGATAGAAAATGAGAAACTTTATTTAATAGAAAACATAATATAGTTTAAGTTTGATAGTTCTATGATTGAGTATTTATCGTCGTCGCGTCGTTTGATAAAGCACGTCTTTGCTCAGTCGGCCGTCAGGTCATCTTTTTGTCGTCTTGATTGTAGTCTTCTTCATATTTGTTTTCATCAGGGAAGAGCATTTCTTTTTCTCAAAAGTAATGAAATATTTTTCATTAGCATTATATTTGCTCTTCTACAATTTATTTGATGGAGAAAGATGCACGCAGAAAACAACAACGAATCTCAAGGCAAAGGGAGAGGGGCAATCAAGCCGTTGACTCACCTTAAACAAGCAAAGGAATGTGCAATTTGGCGATCTTTTGGGTGGCATACGGTCAGAACAACGACCGCGATCGACCCTACACCAGCAGCCGGCAAAGGGCATCAGTCGGGCATTGACACTACCGATAGGGAAAATCATAGGTGGGAACACCTAATTAACCCAATCTATCACGGGGACTGAGAAAAAAGCTCTATACTGGTATAAAAGACCGTAGCCGGATAGAGAAGGTAGGCAGAATTTATTCTGATCTCGCGGCACTATAGTGTAAACACTATATTCCCGAAGCCGCCAATGACTACAGCCAAGACCAGAACTCCTGAAGAAAGTCCTGTTTGCCGTCGATGAACAACAACTCTCCTTGAAGAAGTCCTGCTACATCCTCGTCCTGGAGAAGAACTTTTATTATTATCAAGGACTACACCATGGGTGGAAACCATTCCAAAGTGGATCACAACATGTCCAACCATCAACACCGTAAAAATAATCGATCACAAGGACGACATTCAGGACGTGAAAACCTTAATCATCCTGAAAGGGGTCAAGATGTACAAGCGATCTGTACGAGGACGCCGGGACCAAAAGCACACCCTAGAACAGGCGATCCAGGATCCAGGATCCCAGGATCCAGCGCGTCGAGATCTCATCGCCCAGGACCAGCAACGGGGTAAGTTTGTCGGAACACAGTTCCTTTACCAAATAGATATATATATATTAGGGTAGGAACGTATTTTATAGACTATTCTAAGCAACATTGCCAAAGAAACTATGCCTTGGAAACCACGTTTAACCCTCCGCATTTGCAAGAGAACAATACTGGTTTTTTGATGAAAAATATCTCAGTAGCCTTGACTTTGGAACATTTGTATGGACGCGAAAATAGATATAAATCGTTTGGGCATAACATAATCAATGGACCATTCTAAGACATATTGGCCAAGAAACTATATGCCTAAAACCACGTTTTTTTCATTTGCAAAAGAAAAATACTGGTATTTCACTTTATTTTTGAGAAAAATATCATAGTAGCCGTTACTAATATACAAAATAACAGTATTAAAAAAATGCTTTAAAGAGAACAAAACCTTTTTAACAAAGAGGAGAATTTAAAATTGACAAATATTTCACTGCTACTATGATATTTTACTCAAAAGTAAAACGAAATACCAGTATTTTTCTCTTGCAAATGCGGAGGGCCAAACGTGGTTTATGGCATATAGTTTCTTGGGCAATATGGCTTAGAAATGCCCAGAGATTGTTTTCCGCCCAAACGATTTTTTACGTTTTTCTGGTCCATTCTAGTGTTTTAGGGCTACTGTGATATTTTTCATCAAATACTGGGTTTTTTTCTTTTGCAAATGCGGAGGGTCAAACGTGGTTTTCAAGATATAGTTTCTTTTGCAATATTGCTTAGAATTCTTCCTAGATTGCGTTCCCCCCCTACGATTTATCACTTTTTTTTGCCCATACAAATCGACTTAGTCTAATATATATATATATATATGATTAACCATCAGGTCCTAGCGGTCACTCTTAGAAAAGAACCGAATTTCACTCTTAGAAAAGAACCGAATTTTCACATTAAACTAAAAAATCTTTTATCCAAATTGAATTCGCCTATCCCTATAAATGATATAGAGCTTTTATACATTGAAACCTTCCGTCTGGACTTTTCCCCACTTTATTGTACTAAAGTAGAAAAAGCCATAGTTTGTGCCACGGTACCCAAGACTACCGCTTATTCTGAAAACTTCTCTAATGAATTTCTTGGTGAGATTAGTACCTTTGTCATCCGTTTGATAAACTAATTAGAAAAACAAGAGAGAACGCTATAATTTTTTTGATTGCGTATAACTTTTTAATGAATGGTCCGATTTAAAAAATGTCTTCTGCATTTCGATAGGTATAAATATACACAAAAAAATTGCATTTATATTTCTCGGAAATCTTTAAAGGTATGGCCGCCAGACACATTTTAAAATCGTTAGTGGGCAATTGTGGGCGTTAGAGGGAGGCGTGGCGCTCGGCTGAAATAAACATGCGCTGCGTAGGAAGCCCAAGAATATGTGTGGAAAATCTTAACCTATTATCCCGTATGATGTAAGACTATGTCTTTTTGATTAACATCGGTCACTTTGTGGTAATTACAAAATTACTTAGGAACTAGAGGTACAATATCATTTAAAGAAACAATAATTATTTTGACATTTAGAAACAAATTCATTTTACAGAAGATTAACATACATAAGTGCTTAAAAAATAGGAAGGGAAAAAAAGAAAATTTAAAAATTTAAAAAGGAAGAAGAAAATGTAAAGCTAATAAAATTAAAATTAAAATTAGCTTGTGCCCTTCAAGTAATTTAAAAGAGTTGTTTTAAAGTGCGCTTAATTTCGTATGCATTTTAAGTGGTTTGGGAGGTCATTCCAATAGCGAACGGCCTGAATAAAAAAGTGCTTTTCAGTCATCGCAAGTTTTAATCTTTTGCAGACAATGTTGTTTGTTCTAGCCGAAGAAGCCAATTGCAATTCTTCATGTAGGTATTTTGGCTCTTTTCTGACTAAGAGTTTATGCAGAAATAGCAAGGTTTTCAATTTAATCCACGACTCAAAGCTTAGATCGAAAATTTTATTAGCATGACTTGTTATGTGATTCCTACGGTCTACATTAAAAATATCTCGCGCAATGGAGTTGAAGGCAACTTGTAGCTTTCGCATGCTTGTGGCGTTGCATGATCCGAATATTTCATATAGAACAATATTGGGATAATGCAGGTTTTCGCCTCTAGCATCCTAATATTTTGCGGAATTAGTTTTTGGGTTAAAGATAATTGCCTGAGTACTCCGTACGATTTCCCAGTGGCTTTAGTAACATGGTCATCCCAAGTTAAAGTGGAGTTAAATTCTATTCCTAGGTTTGTGGCTCGCGTAACAAAGTCTATTTCAACATTTTTTACCTGGATCTTCGGAAGGGAGCTAAGATTAATTCATTTTTTATATATTAATAGGCATTTTGACTTGGCTGGATTTAGTCTTAGCCCGTTTGCATCAGCCCAATTATTTATTTGTTTAATTTCGTTGTTGCTAATTCTGATACACTCACTAATTTGACTTAGCGGACGACTAACATATAATTGGACTTCATCTGCATAAAGGCGCACATTACATATAGAAATACATTTAGGGAGGTCATTTACATATAACGAGAAAAGAAGCGGACCTAAAACTGAGCCTTGTGGGACTCCCTGTGTGAGGGGTAGAAAAGATGACTTAAGCGACCTTTGTACA